CAGTAGGACCGGAGAAACCCTCCCAGTTCTTGGTTGGTCCTCTTCACCTGTCCATTAGCCTGGGGAGGGTATCAAGACGTGAGATTGACCGCAACCCACAATCTGAACATGTAGGCCCTCCAGAATCACAATGTACCATGTTTGGAGAGGATGTCCTCTGGCAGTCCATACAGTCCATTTGGTTGCTCTTCTTTATGTGCCACGTGGTGACTATGGAAGCCCATAAAAGACATTATTCAAATGCAATAACAGTTTGACATTTAATTTTCAAAGACGTATACCGCTTTACAGTGTACAATATTCAAATGTTAATGCAAACGCGGAAATAAAAATGCTATGTAAACATTGTAACCTAATTTTCCATTTGTGCAATCATTATTAAAGTCTCAATTAAATCAACCGTCAGACCTCTTATCAAGGTCTTTGGTTAGGACTTATCTTCTGTGTTCTGTGACAACCTGTGCCAGCTTTTAATTGTAAAATTAAATATGAATAATTGTTATTATTATAAATGCCATGCCAGCTTTCCTGTAAAGTGTAATTGCAAGCTTTTGTGGAAACATTACTTTTACATCCCCTTTATTTTTACGTAGCGAGGTGTGAAACAAGAAGTGTTTGCAATGTGTTTGCAAGAAGTTGGTGGGTGCCTTCTCTAATTGGATAAGAAGACGGGAGCTGGCCAAATCTCAAGCAAAGCTAGGCTTGCGGCTCATCAGCTGTTCACAGAGACCCACTCAAGGGTCATAGAGCTGGAGAAAGCTCTGACACAGGTCCTCCAAGCAGAATCAACTTCACAACTTGTGTTCTTAGTGATGTTTCTCGCAGGACTCTTGCATTAAAAATCAACTTATTTGAAGAATAAAATAACCTTCAAGCGTTTAGAATAAAAGGTCAGTGTGCCTGTGACACTAAAATAAAAAAGTGGTTCTCCTGAGATGTTGAACTGACCTTTTTTCCTCAGTGGGATGGTCTGGCTTTTATCCTGACTTATTTGTGTTGTCAGACTGCATCTATTTGTTTCTGCAATTTTCCATTTCACATTACGTTAATTGATATGAGGCAAAATCAAAACAGCATAAGATAAAAATGGCTACGCTTATGAATTCACAACACAATGTAAATAATTTGCCTAAAAACGCATTTTGTCCAGCTGAGTGCCTATTTTTTACTCAACATTTTCAACATCCGAGCTCTACTGTACAGCAGCCCAGAGCAAGTGAACATATGGCAGCCCACGTATCAACAATTAATCATGGTTAGAAGAGAAAATAAGGCCTAGAGTGCATGATAAATAGGGAAGTCGTTGCTGATGGTGCATAGCTTGCTTCATTATGCATGCACTGCTTTATCTGGGTTCCAGTTCCAAAGTGTCTAAATCGGTTTGCATGTTTGTGTGAATGCTGGGAATTCCACGTGGAGTGTTATGAAAGTTACTGCTATGTTAGCGGCTTCTGACTAATCAATATATTAGTGAAAGACAACGATTGGAGTGTTGCTAAGTTAATTGTTATTGTTCGGCTTTAAGCTGCACCAGTTTGATCTCAGTGACATTGGCCAGGTACTTATCAATATAAGATCAATACAAGTGTAGAGAGGGGTTAGAAAAACAGACAGTTTAGGTGTAAACAATGTTTTCTGTATGAGTCCTCCTTCTACGCCAGGGGTGTCAAACCGGTTCCACGGGGGGCCTATTGTATGCAGGTTTTTGCTCTCACCTTGTTCTTGATTGATTAATTAGGTCACTAATTGGTAAGGTCCTTCCCTCTACTGGTTGTTTAGGTCTGAACTGGGAACTAATTTAAATGAAAACCCAAAAACCTGCATACACTAGGCCCCCCGTGGAACCGGTTTGACATCGCTGTTCTACGCATATCCTCGAGCATAAGATCAATGAGAGTGGCAGTTTGCATCGAAACAGCAGCTCTGGGTGGCAATTCTAATAATTTGGAACAGTGCATTTTGAGTTTTTTATTTTTGAAAAAAAAATACTGTTTTCATTGAGTGACTTGTTCAATGAAATTCAACTTATTCTCTTAAGATTGGTGACTTGAAAATTATACTGATTTTCATTTGCATTGCCAATTTAGGAAAATCTGTAAAATATCATTTGCCTAATTATCTCCTCTAATATAAGCTGGACGTTGGCCAGTCCTACATGCTGGACCATGCCTTTATCTCCACTAATATAAGCTGGTCGTTGGCCAGTCCTACATGCTGGACCATGTCTTTATCTCCACTAATATAAACTGGTTGTTGGCCAGTCCTACATGCTGGATCATGTCTTTATCTCTACTAATATAAGCTAGTTGTTGGCCAGTCCAACATGCTGAGTCATGTTATATCTGTTATACACCTGCAGGTACTGATGATGCTGTTACTATGCTGTTTCCATGGCTTGCATCGGCACTCTGTCTCCACGGAGAGCTCCCCCAGTACTCTCCGCCATGGCAGGAAATTACGTTGGTCTTGGTCACATGCAACAAAACTAACAAACTAGCTAACGAGTTACTTCCAATTTAAACATAAGAAACCAAGGTAAAGTTGGTTGGATATTCAATATTGGATGTTCAGCAGATATTCGAAGACCGAGATCAGGTCCGGTATTCCCGCAAGCAGACACACTACACCCCGGTGATCGGCCGACAGAAACCTCTGAGAGCTTATAGTTAGGTACCGTCAATAAAGTACAAGTCTCAACGTTATTAATTCAATAGCTGTTTAACCATTTCGCCACATGTTGCACTGCCTCTGTTTTTTTAGGAAATAGTGAAAACAAATGTATAATAAACATTTAAAAACTGTAAAACTCAATTGTGTTTTTGTTAAATAACTTTGAAAATCTACTCAATCCACTTTCATATTGTCTACAAAGGCAATTCACATGTTGCACAGGCTTTGGTTTTTAAATGAAATTGTGTAACAAATGTTTAATAAATATTTTAAACCTGTAAAACTCAATAGCTTTTTTGTGCAATGACCTATCAACCTCAAACCACTTTTGGCTAGTCTGCAGGGGCCACCCACATGTTGCAAAGCCTTTGGTTGTTCAAAATAAAAGTTTGCAAAGTTTTAATATACATTTTTAACTAAGAAGTCCTTCCAAGATGGAAAGATGGTAAACAAAGCAAGGCTTCGATCACAATTCTCCACTTATTTATTTGAGTCGGCCTTTTCACACATGAAAATCATAAAGTCAAAGTAACACCATGACTGCTGATCATTTGTTAGTGTGCTTGAGGCTGGCTGTCAGCAGCTACTGTCCGGACTATGCATCCCTGGCTGATTCCATTCAGTGTAAGTCATCAGAGTAAAGTCAGGTAATGACAAAAAAAGTACATAGTTAATTGTGTTGTGCAATATGCGCTTATGAGGGAATGCAAGGTACATCAACATACATTGTAAAAATAATTCTTAATATATTTATAGATAAATATATGTTTCGCATTTTTGTAGTAGGTAGATCAGTATGTCATTTTATAAGTAGCTCGCTTGCTGAAAAAGTGTGAGCACCCCTGCTCTTGGGTCTACCCTAACCTGGTTGTTTAGGTCTAAACTGGGACTAATTTAGAGGCAAACCCAAAAACCTGCACACACTAGGCCCTCCCTGGAATCAGTTTGACATGCCTGGTGTAGGTCATGGTTTGGCTAACTGACTTTGGTGACACATTTGTTTATGCTAGAGACAACCGTTTCATGTACAGCTGACAGAACATAACATAATAATGGATAACCGTTTCATGGGTCGTTATCCGTTTACTGTTATTATACTTATATAAATATATATTTGTCAGAGTCTTCACTTTTGTTTGGTCCAATCGGATTTCGGAAAACAAGACCAGTTAATGCAGGTAGGGTTTCCGAATCAGTAGCGTTTATTGACTTTATTGGAGTGAAACAAGCTGGCTATCATTATTGTTAGTAGTCGGCGACCGGAGTAGGCAGCGTTTCCACTCGAAAACAGTCAAAGGGACTGCATATTTTTTTTACTGATGCACAAATTTGAGGTGCTTTGTTATTGGGGTTGTGTTTCCCCGCTTGCAAGAACATGAACATGAACAACATTCCGCTTCCTCCTTATCTTTGACTTTAGAGACATAACGTTACATTACCCGAACCAGTGGTATTCAATGGCAATATTTATAAGCTCGGACCTTCTTCATTTTGGGGTTTTGAGAAATATGCAACTGGTTCCTTAAGATAACTGGGTGTTGATACCCCTACCTAATCATAACCCGAATAGAGCTCTGAGATCGACTGACCAGATGCTCTTGGATGTACCAAGATCCAGGCACAAAAATAGAGGTGACACCATAGACATAATAAAGAGTAGACGCCGCATCGACTGCTGGGTTCAAGAAATGCGGCAGCGCCAGTAGGAGGTAGCGGTCGATGCGGCGTCTACTCTTTATTATGTCTATGGGGTGACAAAAGGCACACTTCCTAGGTCGCACACTCTCCCCGGACACGGCGCCTCCCACCTCCAAAAGCTCTGGAACGACAGCAGGACTGTGTGTAATGGAGGGGCCTGACCAAGAGCATGCACGGGCAGCCAGCAGATTGTTCAACATTTTTATTTATTTTTTTACCTTTATTTAACCAGGTGGGCCGATTGAGAACAATTTCACATTTGCATCGGCGACCTGGGGAGCAGCTGGGATTTGAACTCAGGACGTTGGGGAGTTTGGTAACCAGCCTAGAGTGGCCGTGTTGAATGGAGAGCTGATGTCTATAAACAGCATCCTCACATAGGAGTACGATTGATTTGACCTGTGAGATTGATTTGCTAGAATGTGGCACTGTTTCAATGGAGAAAACTAAGATACTACTACTCTGACTATGTTAGTGACAGACTCTACTAAGCTAGCAGGCAGGGTAACAGACTGGTACTTAAACTGGACCGTATCTCATGATGAGGCTATATGAGTTAGATTCCTTTCTCTGTTCCAGGATAACATAACTAGCGCTACTCTAGGAGGGACAGAGTCTGAGCTGAGCAGCGTGGAGCAGTTTGTAGCTCAGTGGTAGAGTGCATGCTCCGTGTGTACGACGTCTGGGGTTCAAATCTCAGCTGCTCCCCAGGTTGCCGTTGCAAATGAGAAATTGTTCTCAAAACCTCAGGTCAGGCTAAGCTGTTTTTCTTGATCAGCCACAGAATGAGAGAAAGTTATCAACAAACTCCATGTTCTGGACATGCATATCTAGGTTTTTAGCCAGAGTGAGTTGTGTGAGTCTGCTTTGGTCTCGTTACTACCCCTTAATGGGAGGCCACAGACAATTACTTAATGCAGACAAATCTTTCTACCTAGTTAACACGTTGAATTCATGTTCTGCTTTGTAACCTCTGACTGTTTACATCGTTAGCGTCAACATGGATCGCAGATATTAAAGGTCTAAAACTATCCGGAACTAGAAGTGTTAGAAGTGTAACATTTAAATTGTATGGCATTTCAACTTGAAGCAAAGAAACTTTGATATGCCAAACCAAATGGTTGCATAAGATATCATAACATATCTGCTGACAGGGCAAAGCATTGCGCAATTAGTCAAGCCAAATGTCGCTCTTGGACACTTTCCAAAGTTTTCATTATAGGCTGTACTCAAACTTTAGTGTAAATACACTTACACTTTTATTAACCAACAGTATGTATAATAAGTACGGATGTGACGCCTCTATGGAAGAACAAACCTGAAAATATCTCCACCTTCTATGTCCTGATTGCAACCATGGCTGTGGGAATATCAGCAGTCCTGACACCTTGCCAGAGACTCATTTTTATTGTTAACTCCAAATATCTAAGAGTTATCATCTGATATTTTACAAAATGCTGCTTAATTAGGCACCTTCAAAGAAATGTATATAACCTCCAATAATAAAAAGTGTTTTTTCTTTTGGCCGCTAGGCAACCAACAGGAATAAAGTTCACATACAGTGACAATTAAAGGCAATTTGCTATGGCATTGTTCCCTTACATGTCTCTGTGAAAGTGGAAAAGATAACAAATGTATTTTTTTCAAATGATTACAATTCAAACCAACGCTGAAACAGCAAACTAGAGCCGGCAGCTTAGACCACTGGACCACCCTAGGCCATACATCTATGGTTTTGCAATTTAGAACATGGTGGGCGTTTCTTAGGTTGGTTTCAGGGTTAGGTTGAGTGAATCCCAGTTGATAATTTCATGACACGGGATAGAAGCGTGGGATGAGGGAGAGTTGGAGTGAGCATGTTTTTACAGACAAGAGTTTTGTCCATGATGTCACAACTGTGTAGGAGGAGTCATATAACGCTCATGCAAGGTTAGGGATTAGAACACATGGTTCTATAAGCATGCTAATTCCATGCTAAAAAGCTCTCTATTAGATTAAACTGATATTTGTGTCATAGCAAGCCAGATTGAAAGTTCTTTGCAGAGGTTCCTTTTCAGTCCCCATTGTACAGCTGGCTGAGGCTGTTTTCTAATTGCTGCTTTTTATGTCGGAATGAGGGTTATGAGACTGAAGAGTCAACTGTACATTAAAAGCTGAGTATGGTTTTGGAGATTTAAATCACAGAGATTTAGTGGTATCAATCCAAATATTTACATTTTCGACAACCTATCGAAACAAATTAAATGTAAGTGTTTTTTTGATTTTATCTCAAGGTAGAGTCAAGAAGACAGTTAAGAATTTAAGTAGGGAAGGACATTTGGATTTAAGGGAAGATTTAATAAAAATGCACAGGCTTTTTGTTTAGTGTTGTAGAGGTTTTATCTGTGCTGGCACCGTTTAGCCTACATTAATGAGCTAATTGGCTTTGGCCACATATTGAGATAATACAAGTCTGCTTGATAACATTTAGTGGGAAACCCCATGTTCTTCATAAATCATAAACCCTCTTGGTTTTGTCATTGAAATCTCGCCTTTTTCTACTACCCTTTATGTTTGAGCTAATTTTTGTGGTGTTTGTGAACATAGAAAAAGAATCTAGGCTATGAAATCAAAGCTACTTATTGAGTTTAGTCTTGCTTGCTTGGTTGATATTTTTGTTTTATAGGCCCTTAAAGCACAAACAAAAACGAAAAATACAAAAAAGGAGTAATTCATGCAAAAGCCAGAAACACATGTTAAACATCTAGACAACAGGAGAGGCTTCCCCAATTGTGTATTACTACCATGGGCAGAAGTTTGCATCTACAAAAACAACAATATAATGGTTTAATTGAATTTTGACCTCATTATGCTAATACAATGATGCATTCCATTTGGAATGAATAAAATCTCAATTGAGAATAAATGGCATTATATGTTGTAATCAGTGATGGTTATTATTTCATCTCCAACTCTTCTTACTATTTGCATGTGATAATTGACCTTACCATTTCATATTAACCCGATGTTATTATGTCATTTATTTCTGGTGAGATTCTCGGTTAGAGACATTTTTTGCTTCCCTTTCTCCCGGTTAATAATTCAGCACATTGTTGTTCAGGCAGACAGCCATGGAGCATGAAATCAATTTAAGAGCGGAGGAGTGGAGAGCCAACAGAAATGTTGGAATTTCAATATTTCCCAGTTAATAAAGCGTTCATGCGGTTTTTGATTTAATAAACAGAGGGGAGGTGGATAGAAGTCTCGATTAATGAAGAAAGGAGGCCTCCATTTTTTGTATACATGTAGAAATTACCTCTTTTGTTTACATGTAGAAATAAAAAAAAAAGGAATTAATTTACTGTACTTCACCAGATAATGTCCACTGTTTGTGTGTAACTATACTTATATGGAGCATAAATAATGAAAAACTTAGCGTAGCTTGGAAATGTTCTTGTTTTTAAAAGAAAAGCACATTCTTGTCCTTAAAAAACATCAATTGATCAGGAATACAGTCTAGACATTGTAAATAACAAGAAACAGCTGATTTATCAATGGAATATATATATATTCATATCCGCTTACAAAGGCCCATCACCAGCAACCATCACTCCTGTGTTCTTATGGCATGCTGTATATGTTGTATATACTTTATCATTTTAAAAGGCTAGTTGATCACTAGAACACATGTTTACAACTATGTTAGCACTGCTAAAACATGTTATGCTGATTAAGACATCCTTTTCAGTACGTCAGTGTTGTGGCATTGTTTGAGTGCATGTTATGCTTGACGGTACGTTAGTTTGGTTCGTGTTAAGATTATTCCCGTTTAAGGTTCCGTGTGATCCGTTTTGATCAACGGCTTTATTTTGTTCCGGAAGTTTTTCGGTCAAGTTCCGTTTTGAAGTTTGTCTTGCAATAAAGTTTAATTGAACCCTCTGCACCTGTGTTTGTCACCTGTTTCCTGAGAAAGTCTACTCGTGACAGCTTCCCTCAGTAGGGTTGTTACTGCCAAGATACCGTCTATTGGGTAGGGATTTTGGGTTTCAGTCTTGCCTGAAGGTAGACCCTGAAAATTCCTGTTGATGTTTCATTAGCAAGTGCCTTTTTTCTAGTGAAACAAGCTTTAACATATTAATGGGTCTAGTGAAGGTAGAATATCAGGCAGACTATAACATTCTGCAGGCGTTCAATACATGCATGGCGCCCTATAAACTGTGTCAGTAGTCCAGACATGAGGTGGCAAGTGCTTGGATTAGGACCTATGACTCTTCCTTCAAAAGTCACACAGCACGCCTTTGCACTATGGGAAAGTGGAGTTGTCAACTGTGTTCCAAGTGGTCTTGGAGTGGACTGGCCTTTCCCTGGATGAAAAGCAGCTTTGATATAATGAGGTTTCGCTTTGTTGGTAAGCACATCTCCTAGAATTTCACCACCAAGGCCCAGTTGTTCAAAAAGTTTTATCTGGATCCGCATGTGAAAATCCCATGTTTTGCTATCCAGGAATAGGCAATATTCCATCCCCTTACATTTTCAATTTATTTTAAACAGTAAGAACCCTCATCTGACCTGAACATGTGTTTCATATCATAATAATGTTAAATGTCCAATAGTTTACTTTTTTTTTGTTGAGTTTCTTCATTTGCGTATAGACCAGCTTTTTGAAGGCGGATTTCAAGTCTGGCTTTGGTTTGGTGTAGTTGGGTAAGGGTGATTTGTTCCTATGCCAGACAAAACTGTATGTCAGCTTTTTGGTTTAAGAAGTACGTAATATACACTGAACAAAATTATGAACACAACACTTTTTAGTTTTTACCCCAATTTTTCATGTGCTGAACTCAAAGATCTTAGACTATTTCTATGTACACAAAAGGCCTATGTCTCTCAAATATTGTTCACATTTCTGTCTAACTTTGTGTTAGTGAGCACTTCTTTGCCGAGATAATCCATCCATCTCACGGGTGTGGCATATCACAATGCTGATTAGACGGCATGATTATTGCACAGGTGGGCCACAATAAAAGGCCACTCTATCCCAGACTCTGTCCCGTATCCAAGCCTTGTTTGACCTACTGTCTGACTGTGAATCTGGCAACATGTGAATTTGCACCGGCGACTGTTACTTACCTTGGTAAGGTGGTTGGGCAGGATGAAGTGCGTCCTGTTCGTGCTAAAGTGATGGCTATTGAGGGCCGTTTACTCTGCAGGTTGATGCTAGTAATGTTGGGGCAGGGGCTCATGCAAGTGGGTGTGACTGTGGTTGAGAGTCCTGTTAGCAATTGGGGGAGGGGGGCATGTTTTTTCCATTTGTTCTTACAGCCCTCTCCGACAGCAGACATTCTTGATAAATTGGTTGTAACCTGTTTGCTACTTGAATTGCATACACACTACATTACAACATACAAATTGAGCCAGGTCGTGACAATGTGAATTCATATTTTGGAGCTTGGCAATTTCAGTGTTAAAACCATTTGACCGAAGTGAACCTTTAACCCAGGGAAGCGTCCGTTGCCCTATTCTTTACATCTTCATGCTAACGAGGTGGACGAATGTAAACTGGCATTGTGGCTCACTTAACATCAGAAATTGATTTTAAATTACCATCCGTTCCTACCTCTTTTTTAAGAAGCTTCTGTTTGTAATGCAGTCTTTGTTGTTCAGGACATATAGTTTCAATTCATGAATTTGGACAATGCTAATAATGCTAACTTCAGGCTGGAACAGAGATA